CAAATTTTTTAAAGTACATATCTGTTTTTGTCCTTAGCGATACATGTTTTGTTATATCAGTGGAACACCAAGGGGTTTTGGGGGATTAACACCCCCCCCCAAGGGCAATATTCTGTCATTGTTACTCACAAATTTTAATGACTCAAAATAATGGAGGTACCATAAAAAAATTTCGGTCCCAACCAAAACCTCCCCACAGGAAATTTCTAGGTGCGCTATTGTGTTATGTATTTTAACACAAATGGGTCAGTATCATATTAAATTTTACCATGCCTCGTCAACATTCAGCAGCGTTGAAAATTTGGAAAGAAATAAAGCCTCATTTTTGTTATTAAGCTATTTCCAAGTAATATGTACGGTTCCCAGTTCATGATTATTTTAACCTGAGTCTTCTTCTTCTTCAGATGCAAATCCACTAATGGATGTTAGCGATCACATTTCTCATTAATTCTCTATTTCTTGCAATATGTATCAGATATTGTATGTCGTTAATCCCTGTCCATTGCCTTATGTTTCGGAGCCAGGACATTTTCTTACGTCCCATTCCTTTCTTGCCTTCAATTTTACCCTCGATTATAAGTTGGAGGAACTGGTATTTGTTAACCTGAGTCCTTAAGATGTATTTTACTTATCATATTACAGAACCAAACTCTTCAAATTTTAAGAAATATAAAATAATTTTAAAACAATCAAAGATACTAATTTCTTCTGTATTTGATACATAACCATAAAAAAATAAACAAAACTAAATTTATATAACATGACAATTGACATAACAATGCATTTTAGTATAATTTGAGAAATTATTTAATAACAAAAAGCAAGCAATTTGTCAAAGTTAAATGGCTATAACTACATCTACAGTATCCATGGTATAGTGTTCTGTTTTTAACCAGTTCTTCTATTAACGTATGTCATAAATGTTTTAGGACAAAAATTATTACTGTAAAATTATTATTAAATGAGTGATCCTTTTTAATATTCATTAACATTTACTTTAATTTTAACTTTACCTTTTAACTTCTTTTCAATTTTCCTTTTTGTTGAAGATTTCGCAGATAACACAATGTGGGGTTCTAAAAAATCTTCGCTGAAGAAAAAACTGTAGAAGAGTGTAATGAATAAAATAATGCAACAAAAGAAAAAATGAACCCTTCAAGAAGATGCTTACCCGACGAACTAGACCAACTGTAGAGAATTAGCAGACAAAGATAAGAGAAGTAAAGAGGACACACAAAAGAAAAAAAAAACAAAACCCCTTAAATAAGGAACTTGACTTCTGGAGAAAGTTAACATCACAAGAAAATAATTCAAGACAACCACAAGACAATGTAGAAGCCATAATGACGACGTATTAACAACAAAGAAAGATGTATTGAATAGATGGGTGAAATACTTAATATAGAGGAAAAAGAAGAAAACCTGAAAGACAAAAGAGCTGAGGTAAGGAAAACAGGCGAGAGCGAAGAGGAATTACAAACGAGAAGTTAAAGGTGCAATCATCTCAAAACAAATAAAAGCCCAGGTCCAGACGGAATATACCCAGAAACGTTCAAATTAATTAGCGAAGAAAATATCGAATTATTTGTCCTTTTATTCAATCGCATTTATGATACAGGTAAAATACCCCAAGATTGGCTGGAGTCAATATTCATTCCACTACCAAAAAAGCCAAACCCACAACACGGCAATGAGTTCCATCTGATAAGCCTTATGAGTCATGCAGTAAAATTCCTACTAAAAATCGTACATAATCGTATCTATAGAAAGTGCGAAACAATCATCGGAGACGATCAGTTTGGATTCAGAGCCGGCATGGGAACGAGAGAAGCACTTGTTCAGTTTACTAGTTCTCGCCCAAAAATGCTACGACCAACAGAAAGATATATTTATATGCTTTATAGACTTCGAAAAAGCATTTGATAGAGTAAAACACGACCTACTCTTAGAACGTTTGCAAGAAGTCGGTTTAGATGGAAAAGATATCAAATTCTTAAAAAACTTGTACTGGAACCAAAACGCCAGAGTAAGGATCGAAGGTTCCACATCCGCAGAAGTAGAAATAAGGAGGGGAGTTAGACAAGGATGTGTTCTGTCGCCTCTGCTGTTTAATCTTGACTCAGAGTTTCTATTTAAAGAAGCATTGGAGGATTCCAAGGATGGAATCAAGGTGAATGGCGTAAATATCAACAGTGTCAGATACGCCGATGATACAGTGTTAATTGCGGATTCCGACTCAGGTCTACAACGACTCATCGACAAGACCAACTCGACCTGTGAGCAATTTGGTATGAAAATAAACATTAAAAAAACCAAAGTGATGTCAATCCGAAAAAACCAAAACGTACCTCAACCTTGCACAATAAATGGGCACATCTTAGAATAGGTCAATAGATTTAAGTACCTGGGATGTTGGATCGATAGCAGCCTAAATCCTGATCAAGAAATAAGATCGAGAATAGAACAGGCCAGAAAATCTTTCGAAAAAATAAAAAAACTGCTTTGTGATTCTCAAATAAAACTCGAAATTCGACTACGTTTATCAAAATGCTACGTCTGGTCGACTCTTCTATATGCAGTTGAAACGTGGACCCTTAAAACATCAACCGTAAATAAATTGGAGGCCTTTGAAATGTGGAGAATACTCGAAATTTCATGGACATCGCATACCTCAAACGAAGAAGTGCTGCATAGAATAGGCAAGGAAAGAGAACTTTTTAACACAGTTAAAGTTAGAAAAACATCATACCTAGGCCACATACTGAGAAATAATAAGTACCAATATGCCCAACTTATAGTGAAAGGAAAAATCGAGGGAAAGAGAGGCCTAGGAAGGAAAAGATTATCGTGGCTCAGAAACATCCGACAATGAACAGGGCTAAATTTTGAACAGCTAATAAGAACAGCTAAAGATAGTGAAGAGTTTAAAATTGTAGTAGCCAACCTCCATTGAGGAGAGGGCACTTTAAGAAGAAGAAGAAAGGTGCAATAGAAAAACTAGCCAGAACCAAATCATTCGGAATAGATAATCTCCCAGCTGAACTAAATAAAGAAGGTGGTCATGATACGGTAGTGGCATTACAGCAGCTAATAAAAGAAATATGAACAAATAAATAGCTCTCCAATCATTGGAATACTGGAATACTTTGCACCATTTACTAAACAAAAAATATTTTTAAATACCATAACCACAGAGGAATTACGCTTCTAAATGCAGCGTTTAAAATATTTTCCACAGTACCATATGGCACTATATACAGACCAAATAGTAGGAAAATACCAGGCTGATTTCAAATGTAGTAAAGCGACAATTCATTGTTATCACATGTTTTTAGACTACAAAGCAGCCTATGACTCTGTGAATAGAAGAGAAATGTTTAAAGCAATGACAGAGCTAGAAATACCAAATTAGTTGGTAGATTTAACAAAACTAACTATTGAAAAAGTTGAATGTAAAGTACGAATTCAGGGAAATTGTCTGAACCTTTTAAAACAAATAATGGGCTGCGCCAGAGAGATCCTCTCTCCTGTATACTGTTTAATCTGGCTCTGGAAAAAGTAATACGTGTGTCAAAAATCACAACCGTTGGTTATGCAATAAATCAGTGCAAATTCTTGCCTATGCTTAAGATATTAATATTGTTGGAAGAATGGAAAACGCTGTACGAAAGGTGTATATAGCAATTAAAGCAATAGCTACAAAGGTGGATTTAATAATAAACATCAACACAAGAAAATATATGAAAATAAATACTTAACTTCAAATCCTACGACCACTTTTTATAGAAAATGACGTCATCGAAGCAGTGAACGAGTTTGTATAGATAGAGATATACCGCAGAATTTGCACGCCCAACACATGCTATTTTTCGCTCAATTTTTACCTTAAATCAACAATTGTATTAAGAAATACAAAAAGAAAACTTTACAAAACAATAATATCCCCAGTCCTAATATATGCTTCATAAATCTGGACTCTAACAAAAAGTAATAAAAACATGTTTTTATTTTCTAAATGTTTCTAACGACAACTATTAAGGCAAATCTCTGGAGCAGTGAATGACAATGGAGTATGGAGAAGACGATACAACTTAGAACTTTATAGAATACGAGTATACCAGAAACTAGATATCGTAACACATATTAAGATATGACATCTGAGGTGGATAGGGCAAGTAATTCGGATGAAACAAAAATGAACCAACTAGAAAAACGCCTCTTGATAGAACCATTAATCAGAGAAGAAGAGGGAGACCCTGAACAAGGTTAGTTGATAACATCGATGAAGACATATGGGAATACGTGCTTTGAAGAGGAAGGCGATGGATAGGGACGATTAAAGAAAAATTCTTGAGAAGACTAGCACCCACGCAGAGCTGTAAAGCCAGAATGATTATGTGAGTGTAATGATTATTATCAATACTTCTATTCTGAATAATGATTTTAAAACTTATTTTAATGTTGCTGCCGAAACATGTTCCTTAATTGATATTAATTTATGCCATCAAAATCAATTGGGAATACTTCGTACTTCGACGTATGAAGTCAAAGAATGCTGTAACAAAAAAAATTGCATTTAAAGGATGCGAAAAAACTAATAAACTTATTAAAAAAATATTTTATGTCTGTATTTTGAAAGTGTACCGAATGAAACAAATGTTTCCATTCAACATTTATATAATTTCATCTAAAGAATTTTTCTATAATAATTTGATTCAGTACCTACGAAAACTGTCTCTTCAGCACATTTAGCTTCCTGCCGAACCGTGACACAATTTGTACAGTCGTAGATAGACATCAAGCAGCCTTTCCTTGTTTGCTCCTTTTTTCATAAGAACACTTGGATTAATGTAGTACTACTTATAAGAGTTGTACTTTCATTGTTGTACATGCTAAGAGCATTTCAACGTGACGTGTGTTTTTACTCCTTTAGAAAAATTACGATAGGCTTTTACTAATTCTAGCTTCAATGAAAATCCTAAGAAAAATTATTATTACTGTTAAAGAAAGTCCTTGGGTTTGCGAGAGGACGGGGTTTGCACGGGTTCGTCCAACATTTTTGTTGTTTCGGTTGGACTCGTTGCCGCGCTGTCTGGTGAGGTTACCTTTCCACTTGAAGGCGTGGGAACCTAAAATAGAGAACAATGAATTTAGCTAACAAATGTAAAAGGAGAAATATATATATATATATATATATATATATATATATATATATACAATTAGTAAGTTCCAAAAGAAATAAATGTTTTGGTCACGAGGATATCGGTCAAATTTTTTTTGACCTTTGAGCGATATCCTTGTGACCAAAAGATGTATTTCTTGTGGAACTTACTCATTGAATAATTGAACTTTAAAAATTAAGGCAATTATATCGAGTATGCTATCCTATGTGGACCGATGGAGACACTATAACTTCGTTAGGAGGTTCTAGATATTTCTTTCTGAGTCAAACAATAGACTTCTTTGACTCTCAGTACCTGAAGGTTTAGAAATCGAAAATAACAAAGTGTTAAGGCTCAAGAAAGCTCTATATGGTCTAAAATAACCAGCTTAATCTTGGTATGAAAAAATCGATAATTTCTTAATTAATCTAGGTTATAGGAAATCTGATTATAAGCCACGTCTATACATAAAGATGAAAAATAGTCTAAAAATCATCTCTGTTTATGTCAACTATTTTTTTAATTTTTTCTAATGGTTCAAAAGATAATATTATTTTAAGTTAAAACTAAATCAATGTTTCCAAATTAAAGATTTAGGAAAATCAAGAATTGTTTAAGTATGAGAGTAACTGGTAATAAACTGGTGATATAACTTTAGATCAAAAATCCTATATTAAACAGTTGTTAAAAAGGTTAAATATGGAGGAACCAAAAGAGGTTGCTATCTCAATGGAGATTAGTTTAAATTTGAATAGAGACCATAATGCATCTTCTCAAGTACCTTATTAGAATTTACTAGGTAGTCCTATGTATCTGTCAGTTTAAACAAGACCAAACATTTCATATTCTGTAAGTTATCTCAGTTAATTTAATAACTTTTATTTAGAAACGCATTGGAAAAATGTAAAATAAATATTAAAATAATTAAAGGCTAAAGGCTTTATTTTGTTGTATGAGATGTTGGGAACAGAAATATTCACCATAAACAGATAGTGGATGTGAGAAGTTTGACGTCACCCAATGTGGGAAGCGATCACTATTTGGTACTTGGTAAAATAAGATTCAATGAAAGATGGAAAGAGAAGCTTAAACAAACCAATTCAGAGGAAATAATAAAAATAGACAATTTAAGAGATGACTTTATAAAATTATTATATAGAACAGAAGGCTAGAACAGAAAATACAAATGGAGAATATCGAAAATAAAAGAAATGTAGAGACTAACTGGAGAAATCTTAAGAAAAATGTTCTGGAGAAAAAAATATAAGTCAGAAAAAACGAATAAATTATATGAACAGTATAAAAGAATAAGTACTAAAACTCATAAATTGGTAAGAAAAACAAAAACAGATTACCGGGAAAGACTCACAAAAGGACTAGAGAAGGATTTTTATGGATAAAAGAAACAACAACAAAAGAACTAGTTGAAATAGAACACATACAAGAGGATATATGGGTGGCCTTCCTGACAGAAATGTTTAAAAAACAAAACGAAAAACCTTTACCAAAAACGCCAAATATAATAGCTGATGAAAAGACCGAAATCTCCCAAAACGATGTGGACGAGGATATAAACAATTAAAAAACAGAAAATCACCAGGAGAAGATCAAATACCAAATGGGCTCTTAAAATATGGAGGTGATTACCTTGTACAACAACTGCAACTTCTTATTAATAAAATAATCACCACGAACAGAATACCACATGGGGAGCGATCAGGGGAGGTGATGTTCTTCAAAAAAGAAGATAAGAAAGACTCCAATAATTATCGAGCAATAAATTTTTTACCTACAACACTCAAATTGACAACAAGAATAATAGCGACAAAAATAAATAAACGAATATCTTTGCAAGAGGAACAGCAAGGATTTCGGACAGAAACATCATGCACGGATGCAGTTTTTGTAATAAGACAAATAAAAGAAAAGTCGCTGGAATACAACAAACCAGCATATATGTGTCTGACAGATTTAAAGAAAGCGTTTGATAAAGTTAGAATTCGGGATGCGATACATTTATTATATAAAAAGGGAATATCACTAGATTTTGTAAAAACTATTGAGAATATATATAAAGATAACATAGCTTTGGTAAGATGTAAAGGAAAACTATCGCAACCTATCAAATATGAAACTGGCAGTAGACAAGGAGATTCGATGAGCCCATTAATATTTAATTTGATAATGGATGAAATCATAAAGTTAAAAAAAGAAGAGGATATAGAATGGAAGAAAAGGAAATAAGAATAATATGCTACGCCGACGACGTCATATTAACAGCCAAAAATTAAGATGACCGACAAAGATTAATTAAAGAATTCGAAGATACGGCACTCATATACAACATCGTGATCTCAACAGAGAAAACTACAGCGATAGTGATATCAGCGGAACCGAGACGATGTGAACTAGTCGTAAATGACAAAATAATAGAACAAGTGATGGAAACTGAATACTTGATAATAAAACCGTCAAGCTACGAAAAAGTGGAAGAAGAAGTACAAAAACAAGTAAACATGGCAAACAGAGCAGCAGAATGTGTCAACAACACAATCTGGAGAAACAAATACCTCACATCGGAAACGAAAACCAGGATATATAAATCAACAATAAGACCGATAATGACGTACACAGCGGAAACAAGAGCAGATACGGCGAAAACACAAAGACTGCTGGAAACAACAGAAATGAAAGTCTTATGAAAAATGTATGAAATGTATGAAATGAAAACAAACCACACTGTAAGAGACAGAGTAAGAAATGAGGAAATACGAGCGAGATGTGGTATAGAGGAAATAAACACGTGGACCAAAAGAAGAAAAGTGGAATAATGGAAGAAGATCATTGGGACGACCGAGGAAAAAATGGCCAGACAACGTCAATAATTGAGGCTAAAAACCGAAGTCAAACAGGTATTAAGTCTATTTATAAAGTATGAAGAAGAAGAAGATATTGGGTATTAATAAAATCGTTATACTATGTATATAATGATAATATGGGAGCTAAGAAATTAGCAATATTGTATTGAATAGAAGTACGGAACATATTGATATATTATATCATTTTCTTAAAGAAGCTGTAAAGAAAGGTTTAATAAAGTTGAAATATTCTGACATAGCTAATATGCCAGCTGATCTCTTGCCAAAAAGCTTTAGACTTGTAAAACATAACAAGTTTTTGAAAGATAGTTGTTTAGTTTAAATTGTGTAAGAAACATTCATCCAATGTATTTTTTTTAATTTGTTTATTTAGTGGGAGTGTTGGATATAAATAAATAAATTAAGTTTTTGTTTAAAGGCAGTAGCAAAAATACACCCATAGAGTTATTACGTGTGTTATTTGTTTATCAAATCTCCATTTTTCTTCCACAACTCAAATTTATCAACAATTACTGTTATTTATTAATTTCTTTAAATAATTCAGTAAGTTTGTACTGTAAAGTGATACTAGTAGGAAAGATTTGGGGAAGTTCTGATTTTTTCATTCCATATGTGTTTTTGGGGTGCTAAATCTGAATCTGAGGTTTGCGGACAAAATTTCGTGATGCAACATTTAAAAAACCAGAAGAAATCGTTTTTTTTTTGCTTTTTTCCGGTTTTCTGCTTAAAACTGGATAACTGTTAACTTTTAGTAAATGGTCTGTTTACAGAAATTAAAGTACTTAAAGTTCTGTACACCTACTGAACAGACTGAGTTTAACGATACAAAATATGTCATTGACGGGGTTTTTTTGTTACACCGGGTAAAATGGCACCACGGTCAGACATATGCAGACATATGCAGCAGTTATGTATCTTATGACAAATCAAACTACAAATCAAGTGCTATTGTCGTTTTTGATGGCTACCCTGACGAGGCTTGTGGTAGCACCAAGCGTTTAGAACGATTGAGAAGATCACAAAGAAAACAACGTGCTGCAATATCATTAACAGAAATGATGGTGCCCACTGTGTCGCAGGATAGTTTTCTTGCAAATCCAAAAAACAAGAGCCGGTTTATATCTATTTAATGGAGAAACTTCATGATGCAAAAATTTATTCAAAGCAAGCTGTGGAAGATGCTGATATCCTAATTATCTCAACAGCTCTTGAGATGGCCCGTCAAATGAACATGTGACAGTGGTGGGAGAAGATATCGACCTACTGGTCATTTTGATTGGCGTTTGTAGCCCTGATATAAAAAATGTATTTTTTTTGAAGCCAGGAAAAGGAAAGGTTTCGCAAAGCCTCTACAACCCTCATCTGGCTGCTAAGAAAATCTTATTGGATCATATTTTATTCCTGCATGCGATGAGTGGTTCTGATACTACTTCTGCATTGTTTAATCAAGGAAAACTGAAATTTCTGAAAGTTCTGCAGAAGAACAAAGTTTTGCAATCGCTAATTGAATCTTTCAAATACCCTAATTCAAGTCAAAATGAGATTGCCACAGCAAAAAACATGTTTCTCACGGCTCTATATGGAAAAAAAAGGGACAAAACTAAACGATTTAGGATATAAACAATACGTATCTTCATCATTCAAAAATAAGACCAACATTTCTTCATTGCCCCCAACTGAAAACGTCAAGCCACACCTAACTAAGACCCAAGTGAGTGGGGCAAAAAACTAGTAGTGGTCTTGTCCCAATACCAACTACTTTGGACCCTGCACCAAACTCAATACTCCGGTACATTTCATGTAAATGTAAAAAGGGCTGTCAACGCAATTGTGGATGAAGGAAGGCGGGACTCCATTGTTCCCCAATATGCGCATCATGCGAAGGACTGTGTAACAATGTTGAGCCCCCAGAAGGCAGCTCTGACATAGACGTAGAAGAAACTGAAGAAAGAGGGAGAGGTATGTTGGATCTGGCAAGTTATTTTGTAGTCATTCATCTCTCCTTGATATATGATATGTGTCTCTCCTCTTTTTACTTTCCAGGAGAACGACTCCCGACGCGGACGATGGAGCAATCAGACCCTAAGCCAGGACCCGATGCCATCGTAGAACCTCACTACGATGCGGAAGTTATGTTTAATCTCACAATCTATTTTGCAATCTTCATCTCTTCTTGATAAATGACTTAACTTTAAACTTTTATTTTCCAGAACAAGCAGAACCAGGACTCATCGTTACCGAAGAACCTCAGCCAGGGCCTTCCAAAAGACAACGGCTCATATAAATTTTGCATATTATAATTTATAAACATAATAATATATGATCATAAGAAACGAGATTTTAAGTATTATTTTGTTACCAGTTCTACCTACCTACTGAACTTGCATAATTTTTTCCTTTTTTCTTTTTAATTACTTGTGTGGAAAACTAGGTGACATTTATCAAATGACAGCATCCGTAAAAATTAAGTATTGAAATGTAAAAAGTGGGTTTTGCATAAACTGCTAAAAATTTACAATTTTCAACTCGCACTAGAAACCGAACGATTCGTCTGAAAAAAAAAACTAAATACTGGTATTTGTAGAAAATTTCAAGTACTTTAATCTCTGTTAACAGATCATTTACCAAAAGTTGATAGTTTTCGAGTTTTAAGCAAAAAACCCGAAAAAAAGAAGAAAAAAACAGTTTATTCTGTTTTTTTTAATGTCCGCACACCCCGTCACAAAATTTTGTCCGCAAACCCCAGATTCGGATTAAGCACCCCAAAAAACATATGGAATGAAAAAAATCAGAACTACCCCAAAACTTTCCTAGCAAAAACACAATTTAACTGAACTAAAATTTTAAAATTTTAAATAAAAGAAATAGTTTTCAAAAGTAATTATTATCTCTATGCCAACTTATTGAATAACAAAGAAAATAAAAGCGTATTCTTAGATTTTGATTCTTGGGGCAGAACTAACCTGTGGGGCAGATCCCTTGATTCTCGTTTTAGACCTACGTTTTTTAAGTATAACAGAGCCTAAACCAGTTCCTTCCGTTGTTCGGGGCAGAAGGTCGGTAGGCCTTTCTGGTGGCGTATTGGAAGACTTTTTGGACTCGGTCTCATTCGGTGACTGGGAACTCGAGCCGCTCTCTGGTCCCAATCTCTTCAGGAGTTCGAACATCATTTCTTCTACGTGGTTTAGCTTTTGGTTTAATTTTTGAATTTCTAGTTTTACATCCACCTACAAAAATCAATATAGTGTTATATAACAACAACAAAATTAAAATAATACAAGAAATAATGAAACAAATAGTTCTCTAGTATCATAATTATATTAAAACTTTATGTAAAGCTAAAAAATTGTTAAAAATGTTACTCATATACACATTCACTCTTTAGTCCAATCATGGGCAATTTTTGGTGCAATTTTGTAATCCCTGCGTGTATCCAAAATCTATACTGTGACGGAGTGCACTTTTACTCTAGAGATGAAAGCCACTCCTTCTATATGGTAAAAAGTTTTATAATTAAAATAAATATAACAGTCGATGAACTGACCAATTTTAATAAATTTTTGTTTCATGAATTTTTTTTTGTAAGGTTGAATTTCCGATTGGTCTTTACGATTAATTCTGTTAACTTTTTCAAATAAAAACTGATGTTTTCAATTGTTTTTCACCAATAACTACAAAAATATTTAGAACAAAAATTTAGCTGATAAAAAACAAAGAAATTCGTTTTCTAATGATTTCTGTAAACTCAATACGAACCGAATTATGACTTTTTGAAGGACGATAATTTCTCGACAACCCTAAAAGTTGAGACCTTCAACATTAACTAACTTGAAAACGATCAGTTTTTTGGATTTACTTAACATCTTTTTGAGAGTACTTAAAAACAATCTCCATAATGAGCACCACTAACATACTTTGCGTAAAAAATGATCTGTGTATGACAAACATCAAGTCGAAACAATTTTTTTTTGTGAAAAAAACAATTAACAATGAGACCCTTGGTATTATTATTTTAATTTAAAAATAGTCGTACCCCATTTAAAATTTACTTTAATTAGGTAATAATATTATAATCCAAGTAATTTAGCCGGTTTGCCATGCTTATATTAGAAAGCGTAGTTCAGTAAAGCAAAAGATACATTTTTTCAATTAAAATAAAATTGTCTTTCTGATTATAAATTAAAAACTGTTCATGATACATAAAAAGTTTATTAGCTTGAATTGTTTTAGTTAAATATGATAGTCTTATAATAAATAGTTAACATTTTCCTTTTTGTTAAATTTTTGTATTATAAAAATTTACTGAGAGATAGGTATTCAGTCTATATTTGTGTGTCATTTGTAGTTCAACCCAACATTTTAAACTAAACTCTTTTTAAAATTAAGGGTCTAAAAAGTTTTAGCTTATATAGCGTTGTCTTCTTCTTCTTCCTATGCTGTCCCCATTAACGGAGGTTGGCGACCACATTTTTAAAAGCTTCTCTGTCTATTGCAACGTGGAATAATTCGTCTACAGTCATGCTTGTCCAGTCTCGAATATTTCACAGCCATGACTTCCTCTTTCTACCTATTCCCTTTTTGCCATCGACTCTACCCTGCATGATGACCTGCAGAAGACTATATTTATTATTTCTTAGTATGTGTCCAAGGTATGCAGTCTTGCGTACTTTTATCGTTCTCAAGAATTTTTTGACTCGACCCATTCTTCTCAGCACTTCCTCATTGGTGACCCTGGCAGTCCATGGGATTCTCAACATTCTCCGGTATATCCAAAGTTCAAAGGCTTCAATCTTTTTAACTATTTGCGCTTTTAGTGTCCATGTTTCTACCCCGTACAATAATTGCGACCAGACGTAACATTCAACAAACCTCAGTCTCAGCGCAATATTCAGATTTTTGTCACAGAACAATTGTTTGAATTTTAAGAACGCTGCCCTTGCCATTTCTATTCGTACCCGGATCTCTTGGTCTGGATCTAATTCTGTGTTGATGTAAGCTCCCAGATATTTTGTCACTCTCTCTCTATTTGCTGTCCACCAAGAGTTAGTTGTTCATTATTTATTGGACTCCTTAATACTATCATAAATTTGGTCTTATCTGTGTTGATGTCAAGTCCCATTTGAATGCATTCACTATTTATTGCATCTAGAAAAGTTTGTAGATCTTCTATACTCTCATCCATAATTACCGTGTCATCTGCAAATCTCATGGTGTTTATGATTTCTCCACCAATTCTTATTCCTTTTTTTCTTTCCCATAAGGCTTTTCTGAATATGACCTGTGAGTACACGTTGAAAAGCGTCGGAGACAAGACGCATCCTTGCCTAACCCCTCTCGCAATCGGTATATTATTTGTTTCTATATCGTTCACCTTTACTACTGCTTTCTGATTCCAGTATATAGCCTTAATAAACTCAATGTCTTTTTTGTCTAAATTGATGTTTTTTAATTCATCTATTAACTTCATATGCTGCACTCGGTCAAAGGCCTTCCTAAAATCTATGAAGCATACATATGCACTCTTGTTATATTCCCGACATTTCTGCAAGAGTACCGTCAACGCAAATAATGCCTCTCTTGTACCCATGCCTCCTCTGAAGCCAAACTGAGTTTGGCTTCAGAGGAGGCATGGGTATTTATCTATCTGTTCCTCACATTTCTTATAAATTCGGTTTTGAACAATTTTCAAAAGAATCTTTAAAGGGTGGCACATTAGTCTTATCAATATATAGTCATTACATGATTTGGGATTGTTGTTTTTTGGTAGAGGTAAAAATATCGATTTAAGCCATTCTTCCGGGATGTTGCCCTCTACATATATGTGGTTAAGAATTCGGGTGAGTCTCTTTATATTACCGTCATCTAAGGCTTTTAACAGTTCAACTGGAATTTGATCAGGACCCGGTGCTTTTCCTTGTTTTGTATTCTGTAGGGCATTCTTTACTTCCGAGGGTAAAATTTGTAGGTATTGTTTTTCTTCACCTATATCTTGTTCATTTTCTCTCTCGTCATGGAAAAGATGGATTATATATTGTTCCCATACTTCCTTTATTTTGCTCTCTTCAGTAAGTATTTCTCCATTATTATCTCTTGTTATGAGTGTTCTTCTTTATCTGGTGTTGCCTGTAAGTTCTTTAATCTTTTTATGTAAGTTTGAGGTGTTATGTTTGTTGCTAAGTTCTTAAAATTCCTGGCATTCTTTGTTCATCCATTCCTCCTTAGCCTTTCTGATTTCATATTTGATTTTATTCTTGATGGTTTTATATTTATTTTCATCTTTATTTTTGTATTTTCTTTTTTCAGTTATTAGCTCAACTATTTCCGGTGTCATCCAGTCTTTTTTAGTTATTTTCTCTTCTTCGCCTAGGACCTCCTTTCCCGCTTTTAGTATGACTTTTTTCATATCTGCCCATTCAACGCTTCCTTCAGTTAATTTATTTATCTCTGCGTTTAGTTGCTGTTGGGAGTTGTCGTCTTTTAGGTTTTTGATGTTAATTTTGGTGGTGTTAACTTTTTTCTCCGGTTTCCTAAGTTTAATGTTGACGTTTGCTAGTAATAGATTATGATCCGTATCTGCATCTGCGCTTGGATAGGTTTTTGCACTTTGTACTCCATTACGAAACCTTTTGTTAATCGTTATAAAATCTATTTGGTTTCTGATTATATTGTTGAAGGTTATCTTTTGGAGAAGTCCACGTGTATAATCTTCGTAGGGGTAGGTCGTAGTATGTATTTGTTATGACTAATTGTTTCTCCTGGCAGTACTGGACTAGTCTGTCTCTTCTTTCGTTTCTTTTACCTAACCCAAAAACTATATTTCCAGTTTTTCCTCGACCGACTTTAGCATTAAAGTCGCCCATAATTATTTTTACCTCCTGCTTTTTTATGTTTTTTGTTAACAGTTCTAAGTCCGCGTAGAATTTTTCGACCTCAGCATCATTGCTATCAGATGTTGGAGCATACACTTGGATTAGATTTATGTTTAGAGGTTTGGTATATAGCGTTGTAGTACTTGATATTTTCTAAAAAATCCTTTTTTTAAGTTCACAGTTTGAAGTGAATTATAGTGGAAAAACCAATTACACTTTTTTTTAAAGCAAGCTCAATGGAGCACCATAGAGGGTTCATGTCGGAAACAAAATATAATATACTGTAGTATAATCACTAACTCCCTTTTATCAAAAGGGTACTAAGTAGCAAAGTGTAATCCATGCCAAAGACACCAAATTCAGAAATCCTCGTAAAATTAGAAACAAAGAAATTGGTAGCAAAGAAAGCAAGCTATGGTAGCAGTGTCGGAGGTAGAGGAATAGAGCATGCTAAGAATTCTTGGAGTCTACCAGCATACTACTACCAACGGCAAAGAGTATGGTTATGTTAACATTGATGGAGAAAGTAAACCTTGTGGAATTTGAAGATAAGTAAACCATATAAATTGGAATATGCTTACTCATACATATACATAACAAATGGTACTTACTCGGGACACCTATTGCATTATAGAGGAGTCTTCTTAGGGTGAGTAGGATTTATGGTAAAGAAAAACAGACAAAGAATATACTTATAAATAATGGAGTTATATATCTTATCCACACAGTTAACGAACAATTCAATTTAATATTATCCAGATATCTGCATCTACAAGTACTCATACATACCAATAAGTCAAATGGATCTACGACGACGTTAACATTGCCATCCAAGAGATAACATCTACTACATTATATATATATATATATATATATATATATATATATATATATATATATATATATATATATATATATGGGAGAACTTAACCTAAAACAGTTCACAAGCAGGATAATTTGTATTTCTCAGATAAACTTGGATATGGAGGTAGAAATGAAAGGGGTAAAACTCCTTAGAGAATAATTTCTTCTACAAGACTTGTGCTAAATGCCATTAAGACTTATTTGATATTATATTATGATTATTTATTAATATATATATATATATATATATATATATATATTATATATATATAAATATATATTTATATATATATATATATATATATATATATATATATATATATATATATATATTATAATATAGAAGTTCCACAGAAAGTGAATTTGGCTATTAACAAATGGCATTTAATAAAAACGAAATTGGCTTTATAATAACTAACAAAAAAGACGATGTTAAATATGTAAGTGTAGTCAATAAATTTTCAACCGGAAGTGACCATAAAATATTTAAAGTG